GCAGAGGCTGACAAGGCCATCCGGGGTGTGTGTGTGTGTCACTTTGAGGGGGCTGTTCCTCACCCGGCCCCGGTTTCCCAGGGGGGGGGTAGCACCCCTAGTTTTGCCTCATGGGGGCTCCACGCTGGGTCCCCCGAAAGATGCCATTGCAGAGAGGCCTAGATTGTTCCCAGGAACATTTTCTTTTAAAATAGACCGCAAGGGAAACTGAGGAAGACGCCTCCGGCTGCTTCCTAGTCCCCCCTCTTTCTGGCCTGCCCTCGTCCGTCCGAGGGACACAACCTTAATTTTGTCTTGCGTGGGTTACCAAACCGCCCCGTCCCTGCAGGCTGTGCCCGACTCGGACTCACAAAATAGACAAAACAGGCACAGACTTTATGAAAGAACTTAACCCAAACTGGGGTTTCAGGCCCCGGTTTCCTCGGATACAAATATAGCTGGTCCTCTACTTACAACAGTTTGTTTAATGACGGGTCAAAATTACGATGGTGCAGGAAAAAAGGGACTTAGGACCAATTTTCACGCAACTCTTGCCCCATCCCCACGGTCACGTGATCAAAATTCAGGCGCTTGACAACTGACTCGCGTTTGTGACGGTCGCAGTAGCGTCCGGGGGGGGGGGAGAAACCTGATCCCCTTTGGCGACCTGACAAGCCACGTCTATGGGGAAGCCCGATTCACTTAACAACCTTGTCACTAACTGAACCACTGCAGGGAGTCGCTTCACGACCGTGGCCAGGAACGGCCGTAAAATGGGGCAAAGGTCCCTTAGCCGCTATCTCACCGAGCGAGGAAAATTTTGGGCTCAGTTTTTGTCGTCAGTGGAGGACTTTCTCTGCCTTCTTTTTCTATCTGCAGAGAAAAGCAGAGATTTTTTGATGCTGGACATTTATAGCACAGGCTGCCCATCAATTTCTCCCCCCCCCCCTCTTCTCTCTCCTTTTTACTTGCTCCACAGATCCGACCTCACCCATAAGCACAAAAATAAATGAACTGCTTTTTTTTTTTTCCTGAGGAGCTCAGCATTTTGTCCAGCGGAGCTTGAAATGGGGATGCTGAGCTCCTTAGCAGATCCTGGCTGGGGATACATTTGGCCCCGATCCGGCTCCCAGCTACGGACGTTCAGGGCTATGAACAACCCAGGACCCCTCTCTCATCCACCCTGGGGTGCTCTTTGGGGATATTTTTTTTTTTTAATCATTTTCATCTTTATCCATGGCCCCTCCGCACACAAAGCCTTTAGGGATGTGCCTTAGTAAGCCGTTCTTCGGCATTTATCACCAGTGGGTGTAATAAGCCAGGTCTGCGTGAAGGGAGGCAGCACCCTACGTCCAAATCAGATGCTCAGGGTTCTTGGCAGGCCTTTGACTTCCCTTCCTTTACGGTGGCTCCGATATCCAGAAATGTAGGTAGTCAATAACTTAGTTTCCCCAGCCTCTCTAATGGGCAATGGGAAGGGAGGGAGGGAGGGAGGAGAAACAAGAAGAAGGGAAGAAAAGAAAGAAGGTAGAAGTGAAAGGAAGAGGGAAGGAGAGAAAGGAAGAGGGAGGGAGAGAGGGAGGGAGGGAGGAGGAGAAACAGGAAGAAGAAAGAAGAAGGCAGCGAAAGGAAGAAGAAAAGAAAGAAGGCAGGAGCGAAAGGAAGAGGGAAGGAGAGAAAGGAAGAGGGAGGGAGAAAAGGAAGGAAGGAAAGAAGAAAGGAAGGAGAAACAGGAAGGAGGAAGGGAAGAAGGTAGGAGCAAAAGGTATAGGGAAGGAGAGAAAGGAAGAGGGAGGGAAGGAAGAAGGAAGGAAGGAAGGAAGGAAGGAAAAGAGGGAATGGAAGAGAAAGAAGGAAGGAGAGAAAAGAAGAGGAAGGGAGGGAAGGAAGTAGAAACAGAGAAGGAAGGGAAAAAGAAAGAGAAAAGGAAAGAAAGAAAGAAAGAGTCACATGCCTAGAGCTGTGTTGAAACCCCCCCACCCCCCCAACGGACACCATTTGCCGCCCTAGGAAAAGAGAAACGGGGGGGGGGGTGGAGGCTTCCCAGGCAGCCTCTCTTTCAGGCCCTCTTTGCTTCTCAAGTGAATGGGGGCGGGTGGGGGGGGGGAAGAGCCTGGAGCAGATGGGCTTTTCATCCTGGCAGTCTTTGGCCGGCTCAATAGCGAAGGGGGGGGGGCAGCAAGTCAGCGGAGAACAGCTCCTGAATGTTAAGCGGCCGGCCATTGTCTTGGGTGGCCCATCTGTCTGTCCTTTCCTGCTCGCCTATTGTCCGTGGCTGACACATCTGGACTCCGGGCAGCCTGGATGCGCCCCCCCCTCCCGCTCCACAAACTCCCCAGAGCCCCCCACCCCTGGTCCTGCTGTCGGATGCCAGGCAAAGGAAGCTGAGCCCCCAAGGAACTCCCATCCTCCATCCTCCAAGGGGGACCTCCGCCTCCTTCCTCACCAACCTCACCCTCCCCCCTATTTCCTGATAGGGGCTGAGGGATCCACCCAGGGGATCCACCCTTCCTTTCTATCCACCTGGCCCCCTCCTAGACTTGCTGGAGAATTAATTTTGGCTCCAAAGGAAAAGAAAAGAAAAGACACACTCACAGATGTTGGTTGTCCAATTTCACGGCCTGCAACCTTTCCCGGAAGGAAAACACGGCGGGGAAATCTTCGTAAATCCTTTTGATTTTTTAAAATATCTGTACGTAAACCTGGGCCTAACACGTGATCTGTCTCCGCATAACTCCTAAAACGAGATAAAGAGATTCCGATCCAACAAATTATACATTTATTAATTGAGCAAAATGATCCAGGACCTTTGAAGGTGTCCAAATTGTTCCTAAAAGCTGTCGCAACGAGATTCCTGCTCTCCCCCGGGGCAAAATCTGGCACTGAGATCTTGAAGCACTGATCGTTTGGGATTTGAAACCTGTCAAATATTTTAATACTCAGCATTTAAAAATGGGAAAGGGGTTTCAAAAGTCACGGCGGCGGCCCGACTCTGCACTTGAAGCCTAGGCTTTTTAACAATGGCCTGCTTGTGGCCACCATTTTGACTTTTTTGACCTCATACCCTGCAGGCACCTTCATCTATCCACTCTGCCTTAAGTTGGCTCTCGCGCATCGTCTCTGCAAGCTTGCAAACAAACTGGAATGTTGGCCAAGTACTGTACTGACTTTATTTATCTATTCAATGTGTGTGCCCGCCATCTCACTGTTGAGGCAGCTCTGGGGACCCGGAAGGAGTTGGCAAGTGAGGTGAGATCTCCTAAACTGAACCATAAGACGATAATAAAGTATTTTTAAATGCTGGTCATGTGATCAAAATTTGGACACTTGGAAACTGGCATGTATTCGTGACAGTTGCAGTATCCCGGGCTCACGTGATCCGCTTTTGTGACCTTCTGACAAGCAAAGTAAAATGGGGAAGCCAGATTCACTTAACACCGTTATTAACTTAAGAACTGCAAGGATCCACTTAACAACGGTGGCAAAAATGGTCACAAAATGGGGCAAAATTCACTTAACAGCTGGAAATTTTGGGGTCACTCGGGGTTGTAAGTCGAGAAGTATCTCTGTGCACCTATTTATCTGTCCATCCATGTTTAATAGACAATAAGCAAAATAAAGTTTAACACCAAGTTAAAATGCATTCATTAAAAAATTAACATCGACGAAGGAGGACCACGTTAAATACAGACACTATTACAGTGTTTCTCAACCTTGGCAACTTGAAACTATATGGACTTCAACTCCCAGAATTCCCAGCCAGAATTCTGGGAGTTGAAGTCCACAAAGCACCCAGTTGCCATAGTTGAGAAAAAAAGGGACTCTAGTAAGAATAATAACATCTAAAATGAAAAAAACAGGGATCCTAGCCTAGAACTGAGTTTGCATGCTAGTCCGCTCCAGCACTGCCACCTGCTGGCTGCTTGTCCAACAATAGGCCAATATTTTATTTTATTTTATGATTTTATTTTATTTTATTTTATTTTATTTTATTTTATTTTATTTTATTATTTATTTTATTTTATTATTTTATTTTATTTTATTATTTTATTTATTTTATTTTATTATTTTATTTTTTATTTTATTTTTTATCTTATGTTATTTATTTTATTTTATTTTTTATTATTTTATTTTATTTTATTATTTTATTTTATTTTAAATTTTATTTAAGCATCTTTGCAGAATCCCCGATTTTGGGGAAATGGGGACCAAATAAGACCTTAGTCGCTGCAGGCTGAAGATCAACCGGAGGAGATTAAAGGCAACTTGGATCCCCAGCAGCAGAGAGACCCACTTCTGCAAAAGCAAATGACAAAATCCTCTTTCCCCACCCCACCCCCCCATCCTCCAAAGGGTTTACCCCTATAACTGGGGGTGCCAAGCTCTGCTTTTCATGCCTTTTGCACCCCACTTGGGGGGGGAGTGGGATGGGACCCAGAGGGCCCCCCCACCTGCAGGTTGTGACTCGGAGTAGCTGCCAACCGGCGGCGGCACCCGTCCGGAGGAAGGTGGGGGTGGGGGATGGGCAGGGGCAGGCAGCAGGCCATGGTTGCTATGGAAACCACCCGGATGCCCCCATGGCCTGCTGGGAGTGCGGCTAAGCAGTGAGCATGCTCCAGGGGGAGGGGGCGGAGGGAGGGAGGCGAGGAAGAGACTGGCATCAGATGGAGGCGGGCAGCCTTGAGTGGGCATTCGTGGGGAGCCGGGGGGGGGCCCCAAAGGCGAAGGCGGCCCTAGAGAGCATCCTGTGAAGCAGATCCCCCCCCAATGCTTTCTTCTTGGGAGGGGGGTCCCCTGTGCCAGCTTGCAGGCTGCCAAACTCCCGCCCAGCGATGCCCGAACGAGCTTTTCACTCTCCCGCTGGAGCAGAAGACCCAGCATCAGCTGCCACCCCCCCACCTGTCACTGCCAGCCCCGCCGGTCCCAGCTGAAGCCCTGGCAGGGCCCACCCCCTTCGGCCAACTGCCAGGCGCCGGGCTGGAGGGCCCCGAGGGCAGGAGCCCTCCTCTGCCCCCCTTGAGATGTCTGGGGAGAGCGAGGAGACCACCCGCCTTCGCAAGCCTCGTTTCTCCTACGAGGAGAACCAGATCCTCATCCAGGAAGTGCGCGCCAACTACGGCAAGCTCTACGGCAGCCAGAGCCGGCGGGTGACGGTGGCCGAGCGCCGGCGCGTCTGGGAGGGCATCGCTGGCAAGATCAACGGCATCACCAGCTGGAAGCGCACCGGCCAGGAGGTGCAGAAGCGCTGGAATGACTTCAAGAGGCGCACCAAGGAGAAGCTGGCCCGGGTGCCCCACTCCACCCAAGGGGCGGGCAGCGCCGGCGAGGAGGCCTTCTCGGCCGAAGAGGAGACGCTCTTCGCCATCCTGGGGCCTGGCCTGAGGTCAGGGCCGGGTCCAGGAGGGGCAGAGTCTGGGGTCTTGCAGGGCACGTCCAGCTGCGGGGCTCCCAGTTACCAACCGGCAGCGGAGCAGGGTATGGGTGAGTAGCTGCGATCCTGGGGCCAAAGGGTCAGGTGGGCATCAGGGAGCAGGCACACCCTGGACCAGGGGTAGGCAACCTTGGCTCTTTTATGACTCGTGGACTTCAACTCCCAGAATTCCTGAGCCAGCTGTGCTGGCTCAGGAATTCTGGGAGTTGAAGTCCACGAGTCATAAAAGAGCCCAGGTTGCCTACCCCTGCTCTGGAGCAACTGGTCAAGAGGAGGTTGGCATTTGGACCGAACTGGGTCCTGGAGAGGGGGGGGAGAAGACAGTTACTAGGAGCTGGAGCTGCTTTTGAAATGAAAGAGGGGTCCAGATGTCACCTGATCAAAGGCGACAGGCTTGTCGGGGTGCCTCTGAGCATGGGTCAAGTGCTTCCCTTCTACTGACAAGCCGACAGATAGTTTTATCTAACAGAAGAACAGAGCTGGAAGGGACCCTTGGAGGTCTTCTAGTCCAACCCCCTGCCCAGATTCTATAGCATTTCAGACAATTGACTGTCTAATCTCTTCTTGAAAACCTCCAGGGATGGAGCGCCCACCACTTCTGGAGGCAAGTAGTTCCACTGGTTAATTGTTTCTCACTGTCAGAAAGTTTCTCCTTAGTTCCAGGTTGCTTCTCTCCTTGATTTAGTTTCCATCCCTTGCTTCTTTTTCCTGCCTTCAGCCCCTCAAATATTCGAACACTGTTTAATTAACCTGGTTGAATTATTCACTCCCACTTAAGGTTTCACAATTCTGGCTGCTCCTGCTTTTTTATTATTATTATTATTGGTGGTTTGGGAAACGGCCTCTTTGAATGCTACATTGGTTTAGAGCTGGTTTGTGACCGTAAGCAACTGTCTAACTTCCTCTCCAAATAAAAGGAAGCCCTTTTCCATATATATTGGCATGGGGCAGTTGTGGGGGCTTAAGGGAAAGTTTGAGCCCAGCCACCTGTCCTCCCCCCTCACCCCCAATTTTTAAAGAGGCAAGAGACGGGTGCATCTCCCTGCTGTGGCTGGTGCCGTGGAAATGAAAGGGTCACGTCTGGCAAGGGGAATCCATCCACTGCAGCAAAAGAGAAAACGAAATAAAAAACCCCTGCGTGGCCCAAAGCCCTCCAGCAGTTCAATCAATGTAGATTTTACAAACTCCGCCACATTCTTTTTAAACTCTCTTTAAAAAAAAAACAAAAAACTGCTGGGTTAACAAACTCCAACATGCTTTATTCAGACAACTGAAGAACTACAGGTAGTCCTCGGGTTAGAGGAGCTCAGAGAGCACCAAGGACCCGGAACTATTTGCCTAAATATAGATATATTCTGGGAACTGTTGGGGAGGAGCCGTCTTCGCCCTCTGTCTCTCACACAAACGTCATCTAAACTTCACGGCCTCTTTCCCCTCTGAAATGCAGCCCCTGGGAATCCAGACCACATTCCACCACAGTAACTCTCTTTCCTTAGTCCCTACAGATCTGCCCACCAGGCTCAACGGCCCCGGCAGCCCAGAGACCTCTGCCCAGCCTTCCTGCTTGCTGAAACCCAAGGAACGAGACTCACCGCCGCCCCCTCCAGGCCAACCTTCATCATTGCAGATTGTCCAGCTGGCTCCGTCTCCGTCCTGCTTAGGCTGCCGGCCGCATCCCGAACATTCCCCGCCAGAGTTGTTGGGTACCACTCCCTGCCCTTCGACTTCGCCCCCCCTGCGGCGCCGACGTGCCCAGCTGGACCTGCCTGCCGAGCCCCCTCTGGATTTCCTTCAGGCTCAGAGGGAGACGGCTGTAGCCATCCGGGAGCTGACCTACACCCTGCGGCAAGGCCTGGAACGGCTCACGGATGTGGTGGCGGCACTGCTGCCCCTCCTTCCAGCCCTGCCCAACGGTCTGCTGCCCCCACAGGGGGAATACAGTCTCCCCACGGCAGCCCCGGGCACAGAGACGGCCTCTCCTCGGGAGGGCATGCCTGCCAAGTCGGAGCTGTCTCCCAGGCAGGAAGAGGACAGGGCTGACTGGGGGTCATCTCCAAACAGGGCCCCTCCGGCACCAAAGCGGAGGACGGGGACCCCAACTCGGAAACGCAGAGGACGCTGGAAGAATTTGTGAGCACCAGGACAGATGTGCTTCCCCACCCCCCGTCCAAAAAGGAAAGGCAGATGGGGGCTGCTTCCCTGGAATGGGTGCTTCCATCCTGCCCTCTGTCTTCCCACAGGGAGGGTGAGACCCCTCTGCACTGCCCCCTCTTCCAATGCCAGGGGCCGTGGTGTCCGTGCCAGGGGCCACACTCCAGGCCAGTCCCCGAGGTCACCTCTGCTGATTTTTGTGGTCCAAGCGTTAAGTGCAAAAATTTATTCCACGCCTGGTGGGCTGCCACGCGCCACTGCCACCTTCTCCATTTGTGGATGTCAGTCTTTGATTCCAAAGGGAAGGTTTGCTGGGAAAGATCCAGAAAAAAAATAGATCGGGCCTTATAGCACAGGTAGTCCTCGACTTACGATCATAATGGAGCCCAAACTTTCTGTTGCTAAGGGAGACGTGTGTTTGGTGCGTTTTGCCCCATTGTACGACCTTTCTTGCCACAGCTGTGAAGTAAGTCATTGCAGTGGTTAAGAGTTAGTAAGAGGGTTGTAAAGTGAGCCGATTTTGCTTGTCAGAAGGTTACCAAAGAGAGATCACGTGACCCCAGGACACTGCGACCGTCATAAATATGAGTCAGGTTGCCAAGTGTCTGAATTTAGATCACAAGGTTCATGAGGACGTTGCAACGGTCGTGTGAAAAACAGTCATAAGTCGCTCTTTTTTCAAACGGTCACTAAACCAACTTTTGTAGGTCGAGAACTACTTGTAAACTGGACAGATTCCCGACTGAGACCCAGGGTTCCTGCAGTTCTGTTCCCACAATGCAACGCTCCTATTTGCTCCATCCTACTGTATGGGGAGCTGGTCCTGTAGCCTGTCCCATGGCTGGAAAACCAACTTAACTTTTGGTTAAGTTTCACGCCAGGCCGCAACCCGGAAGATTGTAGAGAAGAAAGCCTTGTGGCAAATGCCTTGGATGACACTGGACTGGCAGAAGCTCAATAAACTATTTTCATACAATCCGATCTCTCTAGGATTCGTTAAGTTCTCGCTTGCACACCTGGGACACGAGTGGGGAGCAAAGGTAGGGCTGTCCACGAGGAAGGGGGAATTCCACTCTCCCGCGCACCCCTTCTTAAGAGGCAGAATGGATAAAATCGGTCATTTCAGAAATATTCTCTCTCTCACACACACACACAAAAAGGGAGGGGGAAAATGTTTCATACTCCTGGTTTTGCTCAGACAGGTAAGTCCTCAACTTACAGTCACAATTGGGACAGGAATTTCCACCGCCCAGCAAGACGTTTCATCGCCCAGCCAGGTAACACCATCAGTGTTCAGTTTCAGTAGCACTGATGATGTTACCTAGTTGGGTGATGAAATGTCTGGAAGAAAGAAAGCAAGTTCAGGGAGCAACAAGGACTCCATAGTCGTCATTCTCCTCCTCCTCACACTCCCCATCCTCCTGCTCTCCACAAACCCCCCTCCCTTCTAGCACTGATGATGTTACCTAGTTGGGTAATGAAACATCTGCAAGAAAACTACCAAGCTCAGAAAGTACCAAGGACCTCATAGTTCTCTTCTTCCTCCTCCTCTCCACAAACCCCACTCCCTTCTAGCACTGATGATGTTACCTAGTGGGGTAATGAAACCTCCAGTGATGGAGCACCGGAGATTAAAGGGGTCAGCTGTGAACTTTTCTACACAATCAACTTTTCCCCCCAAGCTGAATGACTCTGTGAAATTCAAAGCTGTCCCATCTCCACCACAGACACAAAATGTGCCATAATTCTATTTATTATTCCTTCTGTGGTGGGGAACCAGCAATGGAGCTTCGTTGCTTTGGCTAAGAGGGGGGAAAGGGGGCCGTCTCTGCACTCAGGCCGATGGGTCTTGCCACACATTGGCACGAAGCAACCGGCTTCCAACGGAGGGAGGAAGAAACATAATAAAACGGTAGGCTTACCGGAAAATACTGCAGGGAATAAAAAGAGGGATTATCCCAGATTATCCCAGCATTCTCCTGCTGCCGTCAGAAAAGTAAAAATTAGCACGATTCAGGGCAGG